GAAGACTCCCTCTATCTAGTGTCCTTAGTTACTGGAACCTGTCTATACACTTACTCAGCCTTTTGGCAAAATGGCATGATTTTACTATTATATAATAGTTATGAAACTTATTTTTTTTTATTGATTTCAAAGAGGAAGGGAGAAGGAGAGAGAGAGACAGACACATCAATGATGAGGCAGAATCATCGATTGGATGCCTCCTGCATGCCCCACACTGGGAATGGAGCCCACAACCTGGGCATGTGCCCTGACTGGAAATCAAACTGTAACCTCCAGGTGTGGTTCATAGGTCGATGCTCAACCACTGAGCTACACCAGCCGGGCTATTTTCTTTAGATTGTTCACAGCAACCTTACATCAACCCATGTAGCTCTCATATACCCACATACACACCCATATCATGTACGTACATAAATGATTGAATAATTTTATCTGTTGCTTCATTATTGGTTAGGAATACAACCCTATTTTAATAGTGCTCCCTAAAACAGGACAGCTCTACAATATAGGTACCAAGAACACAATAAGATAAGCAGATACTGCCTGTATTCATAAATAATTTTATTACATCCTTGCTGAAACTCTGTTCCTAGAATATTTTACCGTAATGATATAAAATAAGTTTAAAACTGACTTCTCCTGCCTGGCCAGAGTAACTCAGTTGGTTAAGCATCATCCTTTGCACCGAAAGGTTGCCTGGTTTGATTCCTGGTCAGGTTTGGGGGGGGGGGGGCATCCCTGGTCAGGGCATGTACAGAAGGCAATCATTGATGTTTCTCTCTTACATGGATGTTTCTCTTTCTCTAACCATGTCTTCAAATGAGGATTTTAAAAAAAAATTTACTTTTCCTAGTTTTTTTTATCTTATAAATATACTAGAGGCCCGATGCACGAAATTCGTGCAAGAGTAGGCCTTCCATCCCCTGGCCGCTGGCACTGGCTTCCCTTTGGCACCTAGGACCCAGGCTTCCCTCACAGCCCCGGCTTCATCTGAAAGGTCATCTGGTAGGATGTCCAGCCTAATTAGCACATTATGTTTTTATTATTATAGATGCAGCCTTTTTTTTTTTTTAGTGATCTTAGAGAGATCACATTCATTGGTTGCTTCTTGTATGTTCCCTAACAAGAATGAACCCAAAACCTTGGCATATCAGGAGGATGCTCTAACCAACTGAGCTACTCTGCCAGGGCACTATTTCTTAATTAAGGTCAAAGTTACTTCCATTTGTTAAATCACCAATTCTCTGATCTCATTCTACAGTCTAAAATATTAAAGATCTACTTTTGTTTATTCCTCTTACATTGACTTCTGAACTTCATACAAGCAGAAACCTTTTGAGCACTGAGGTTTACTTTAATTCCTCACTTTATAGATGATAAAATAAACCAAAAAGCGTATGTTATTTCCTAGATTTTGGCTACTAGAAGGAAAGTATTAGTGCTATTCTCTTTCTAAAATTCATTTTTACTTAGACTGAAGCCTTATACATTTACCAGAATAAAATAAAGACACCAAACCACTAATACACTGATCCCTTCAAGAACTCACTTAGAACTCTATTAATTACTAGTCTTGCCCAGCCCTTGTGGCTCAGTGGACTGGGAGTTGTCCTGTGGTTGGATTCCGGTCAGAGCATATGACCCAGTTGTGGGCTGGATCCCCAGTGAGGAGTGTACTCGAAGCAGATGATCTCTCATTGATGTTTCTCTCTCTCTCTCTCTCTCTCTCTCTCTCTCTCTCCCTCTCCTTTCCTCTCTTTCCAAAATCAATAAAAACATTTTAAGAAACAAAAACTAGTCTTTTCATCTTTAAAATACTATTTTTCACACAGCTAGAGCATGAAATGTTTATCCTATATAATAAAAAGCTAATACGCAAATTGACCAAACAGCAGAACGACTGATTGCTATGATGCACACTGACCACCAGGGGGCAGACGCTCAACACAGGAGCTGCTCCCTGGTGGTCAGTGCGCTCCCACAGCAGGAGCACTGCTCAGCTGACTGACCCATCCCAGCGGCCCACC